GACGAGCAGATCTGGGCCCCCTTGCCTCAGACCCCCCCCCCTCTGACACCACCCCCTAGTTCCCTCCCTGGGTTCTCCGTTTTCTTTCTTTCTTTTTTCAAGACATGCGCTTTTGGCCGGTGGCCTCTTCGGACATGGTACCTCCGGTGAGATAGTGGCTGCCAGTTCGAGACTGGGGCCGATCGAACTTGAGTTGTTCGGACGGAGGAGGAATCCGGCCAGCCAGCACGGGTACAAAGAGGGGTACCCGGAGAATCCCCAGCTGCGGAAACGTAGTGTCGCTCAAGAGGTGCTATACTGCGGGGGAGTGTAAGGTGCCTATATGGGCTTCCAGTATCGGACTTCAAGACATGCGCTTTTGGCCGGTGGCCTCTTCGGACACCATCCCTCCCTTGGGTTGTCTGTTCCTTCTCTTCTTTCTTTCCCAGTCCCGTGCCCAGTGTTGTCAAGTGCGTTTTCTTCAAATTCTGTTTCCCGCACGCAGCACAGCACAGTAGACCTCAGACGCCACATACTCGAGCTTAGGCGGTACATTACTTTTCCCTGACAAGACTGAGGGAGGGTGTAGAGCTGTAGAGGATGTAGAGTGTAGAGCGCTGTAGAGCTGTAGAGATGTAGAGCGCTGGAGAGCGCTGTAGAGCTGTAGAGCTCTACATCCGCCGCGGGACGGACCGATGCAACGGCGTGTTTTTTTTAAAGCCAGAAGAAATTTCGCGCTTCGAGTGCTCCCTGTTGGTGTACCTGCAATTAGTGCCAGTGCGCGCCAGTCCCGTGCCCAGTGTTGTGACAGGGCGTTTTCTTAAATTCTTTTCTTTTTTCACACGCAAGAAGAAGTCTGCACTCCAAGAGGAGTCTAGCTGCCACGTTCAAAACCCAGGAGAGATGGTGGCACAGTGATGGTGCTATCACGGGCATGATCCGTGGAAAGTGGAGCGGGTGGTACGGAATAGTAGAGCAGGCGCTTTGTGGGTGGCGGGTATGGGCGGCGGCGTTGGGTGGCCGGCCGAATCGTTAGCGGAGCTCCTCCCTCAAGCTCGATCACGCATGACGCACGTTGAGTGACAACGTCGGCGAGCTTCTTGCCGGAGCACCTCCGACTCCTCCTCTGAGTCAGACACGACAACGTCGACTGCGCCCTCCTCCTCCCAGAAGATCCCATTCGTCGACTGCGCCCTCCTCCTCCGCCTCCAATTCGCCGACTGCGCCCTCCTCCTCCATGGGCTCGATCCGATTCCGCAGCGTGTCGTCCCCAGCGGCGGTGCTGCACGGGAGGTGGCCGCGGGCACGCTGGGCTCGATCAGCGGCTTCCCCTCAAGTTGCGCCGAAAGCACGGATTTGGCGGACGTTCTGGGTTTCAATTTTACGGATGTCTGAGCACCAGCTGAGGGAGGGTGTAGAGGATGTAGATAGAGTGTGTGTAGAGCGCTGTAGCTGTAGAGATGTAGAGCGCTGGAGAGCGCTGTAGAGCTGTAGAGCTCTACATCCGCCGCGTGACGACGTGAGTCGCCTGTAGAGCGATGTAGAGGCGCTCTACAACGTGAAACCGGGGGCAAAGACGAAATCAAGGTCAAACTTTGGACCCCCCTCCGGGGTGGCTTGCCCGTCGGGGTCGGCCGCGCCGACACCGGAGGCAACCCCGGCTCCGTTGGAGACAAGTTCGCCTTCGGCAACACCGAAGAGCGCGCCCGCCTTGCAAACATGGGCTGCAAGCAACGCGGGTTCCATGGTCAACGGGCGTTCGACCACGCCACCGGCCAAGGCTACGTCAAGTCACAGCGTGGCCACTACCATGACGGGATCTTCACCAAACGAAACAAGTTCAACCTGCTTCTCCACGAGACATTCGGCGGCGGCTTCTCGCCGCCAGCAGTTGCAAAGATCAACCGCCTTGCGCGCAAGGCTCAACGCTCGGGCGTTGACCGCACCGCGTACCCTCGCTCGAGTCGTCGTCGGCGGCGTTCTTCGTCGCCGCCTTGACGATCTTGCTCACGCGTCGCAACGTCGGGGTAGTCGTCGGGGCCGCAGTTGGCCGGCGGCGGCGACGGCGGCAGCGGCGGGTCCAGCGGTGGCGGCGGCGGCTGAGGGCTGGCGCCCGCGCCAAAGGCCGAGTAGTCGGCGCTATTTGGGTCGTCGGGGTCGCGACCGCCCTGGAGACGGCCGTCGGTGGCCGTGTCGTAGGTGATGAACGGCGGGTTGTCGTTGTCGTAGCAGGCGGGCATGCACTGCGGCCACGTCGTGCACCAGCCGGAGCCCTGCGCGTCGATCTCGTACCGCCGCCAGCTGCCGAGGTCCTGGCAGGCGGTTTCCCACGCGCTCAGGTAGGACTTGGCCTCGTTGGTGACGCGGTCAGGATGGGAAGGTAGGTAGGTACCTAAGTACATCTCCTGCATTCGGGAGCTCGCTCCGTCGCAGTGCTCGAGCAAGTGCTCGCTCCTGACGGGGGCACGTTGCGTCCTTCGACAAAGACCGATCGGCGTCGCCCTGACCACGTACAGTCAAATCATCCTCTGAGGAGGCATCTCAATCAACTTCGTGATCGTCGCAAGGCAGCCATTCATCATCATCATCTCTCTACTCTCTCTCTGCTCTGTACTTATCTTCGAAAACATCGCCTGCAAAAAATATACTCCGCCCGCTGGTCCCTGGTGGCACCGTGGTGCGCCACGGAACCGCGGAGCGGAGAGCGGCAGGGTCTCTTGAGAGGTAAAGTGGGAGCGGCACTCACTTGATTCTCACAATGCCCTCAACAGACGTTACCAGCCTCATCGAGAAAAAAGAAACAAATTTGCCGCGCGCGCATATTTCGCGCCCATTTGACGATGCGGTCCCGCTTTTCCCGTATTTCGTCCGTCCAATCGAAAAGGAAGCGCTGGATCGCCCCATGTTATGGAGTTTACCAAACTTGTTACCGTTTCTTCTGCTCAATTTCCGAGATTTAGAAAACCAACAATATATCACGACTCACACAGTGTCAGTGATTTGGGCTCGGCAGCTTGTTAGCCCTCAGCCGAAGCTGGGGCCGGTCCCGTAGCCGAGAGAGAGAGCCCGCGCCGTGAGTTCGACGCGGTCGGGAGGCCTTGCGGAGAGGCCAGCGAGGTGGCGATCGCCGTACTTCATGGTCGTCATCAAGTGACCGGCTGACAAGCCAGAGGTCGATACTCTGGACGACCCATAGGATGCCACGAATGCCTGAAGGAGAGGGAGGCGAGGCCAGAGGCAGGCTCCCAGTTTCCGTGGTTTTTGCACGGTATTCGGATTTTCGCTATTGGTCGTGTGGGTGTGTAACGGGATTAGTCAATGGTACCGCGTCGGCGACGCGGGCGCCTTGCGGGCAGAGCCCTGAGCCACCCTTTTCGCGTGTGAGTGAGTATTCTTGATACGAAACCACGACGACACACACCAGTCGACTCGCATCGGTTGCCTCCATGAACGGCGGAGCTATTCTCGCGCCCACACCACACCTGGCTCCAACGTGGACACGCCCATAGCTGGGGACACTACTAGGTCACGCATGGCATCACAGAAGTTTTATCTCTGGGTCCCGAAAGGCATCTCTAGCAGTGTCGTTACACATGCCCCCTCCCCTCCTGGGCGCATGCGCCTCACGTCTCGCCAGAGCATAAGCCCTTGGCGTGTGGCGAGACGAGTTTTTCGCCATGCAGCGAGCAGCAAGCCGCCCGCCGCAAACAGCCGGAGGCATCGCCACGGCACTGACTGCGCCGCGGTCCCGCACCCGTCGACGCAGCTCCCCCCGCGGAAGACCGCGCGTAGCGACGTCTTGACGATCGAGATGAGCGTGCCTGAAGCTCGCCCACCTACTGCCCCTGAGAGTTGGTTATGAGTGGGCTCGGCTCCCCCCCTTGGGATCGAAGCTTCCACGACCTCACACCCAACATTCCAGGCGGGATCAGAAGGGGACTCCACACCGGACACCGCCCGGGCACAGACCCCCTACCCGTCGGATCGCACAGGGCCCCCTCGGAGCAGCCCACACACAATCACGCATCGGCAGATTGAGTGCCTGAGTCAGGCAGACAGCACAGACAAGAGGAGAGAGAGGAGAGAGAGAGAGAGAGAGAGGAGAGAGGAGAGGGTGAGGGTGTGAACACACGTGAGGAGTGGGGGAGGGTGTCTGTGGTGGGCTGTAGTCCTACTACGTGGTTACAACCACGCGCCCCTCAGGAGCTTAAGGTAGAGCTGAGCGTCCAAGACGCCTCGGTGCCACCCACCGGCGTGAAGACCATCCGGATCTGCCGGGTTCGCCCTCCGGACGGACCCGTCCCCGCGATGGCCCACGGTCCTCCGTCGCCAGGTCGAACCCCCTGCCTCCCGGTTGACCCCCACTCCTCGTAGTCCATCATGAAATAAACTCAAAGTCCACCACCGCCACCAGCCTCCACCTCCACCCGCGAGCCGCCACCGCTGCCGCCCGCGACGCCGCCCGCCGCGTCAGATAGCCGCGACGCGCGCATCGAGTCGCGTCGGAGAGCCGCGCCGCACCAGCAGCAGCATCTGCACCACCAGCAGCAGCAGCAGCACCACCACCACCACCCGAGAGAGAAGCGCACCTGCCCGACGCCGCCCGCCGCGTCAGACGCTCGCGACGCGCGCGTCGAGCCCAGTCGCACCGCCGCGCCGCGCCAGCAGCAGCATCGGCACCAGCAGCAGCAGCACCACCACCACTAGCAGCAACAGAGACAGGCAGTGCAGGCGCAGAGGCGCTCGCAGAGCGGCGCTCAGCGCCGCGCACGCCACGCTGCGGACCGTCGGACGAGCGCACCGTACGTCGGCGGCGAGCCGCGTCGCCAGCCGTCTCGCGAGAGAGCGGCGCCGCCGCGTGCGCGCAGCAGCCGCCGCGGCAGAGGCGAGCCGCGGCGACGTCCGCACTAACGGATAACGGCCATTGGCGGTTTTTACACACACACACACACACACACCCTTTTCGCGGTCACAAATTTGGGAGCATGTGCAAAAAGAAATAAATTTCCCGCGCGTGAGGCCGCATTGAGCGCGAAGGGCCATGACAGAATCACCATTCGTCTTCGAGGAGGAGGAGGACGAGGAGGAGGACGCGCTGGGCGGCGCCGACGACTTCTTCTTCTCGGAGGGGGCGTCTCGCCGCCGCTGCTCCAGGCTGGCCCAGAAGCGCACGCTCTCGGCGCTCGACGACGTGCCGGCAGAGCGGCTCGCTGACTGTGTGCACTCACTGATGGCGGCGTCCAAGGGCGAGACGCTGGGCCGTGCGCAGACTGGACTGCACGCCGCGTGGTCCTCGTACCTTCAGGCCGGCTTCTCCCTCCTCGTGCACGGACTCGGCTCCAAGCGGCCGCTCCTCGAGGACTACAGCGCGCTCCTCGCCGAGAGCGGGCCCGTCTTCACGCTCCACGGGCACGCGTCCGGGGCAAGCGTCCGAGAGCTGCTGCACGACATCTTCCACGCCCTGCGCCTCCCCGTACCCGCCGGGAACACCGCCGTGCTCTGCTCACACCTCCGTCGCGCGTGCACTGCCGCCGGCAAGGCGTCCGGGCAGGGGACGGGCGGCGGCTCGTCGCTGGCGGCCGTGCGAGGGGCGGCTTCCATGCAGGGCCCGCACACCGCGGACGCCATCCTCAAGCACGTGCTCAACTTGCTCCCAGCCCGCGCCGAGGCTTTCGTCACGCCCTTTGAGCCGCGACCAGGCGGCCTGGGCGGCGACAGCGAGGCGTCCGAGCCGGCGGCGGCCTCTCGGCCCGAGTGCGCGGGGGGCGACGACGAGGCCTGCCACGGGTCGGCCTCGCGCCCCTGCCGTGATTCGACGGCTGCGCCCTCGGGTCCGCGCGTGCACGGTGCCGGCCGGGGCAAAAGCTCTGCGGGTGGCAGGGCCAAGGGGCCCGTGGGAGGCCGGGGCGGCGGCGAGCACAAAAACGAAGGGCCGCCGGCAGCCGCGGCGGAGACGCCGAGGGGGGCGAGCGGTGGCGGCAAGAAGACTTGCGGCACTCCGGGCTGCACCTTGCCCGACTTTCACCTCGGGCCTTGCTCGACGGAGCGCTGCTCTATGCCGATCGTGGACGCCGCCGACACGGGCGGTCTGCCGGGCAAGCGGCTCCGCCGCAACAGAGAGGACGCGGCGCTCGACCGGCTCGATTGGGACGGCGCGGCTCCCGCCGCCGGCGCGAGGGGCCCGAACGGCGCGGCGGCCGCCGCCGCTGCTGCCGGCCGCGTGCCGCCACACCTCTACTTGGTCGTGCACGGCATGGACGCCCCGTCGCTGCGCTCCGAGGCGAGCCAGAGCGTGCTCGCCGCGCTCGCCGCGCTCCCACAGGTCCACCTCGTCGCCTCGGTCCACCACCGCAGCGCTGCGTTGCTGTGGGACGCCCAGCAGGCGCTCGTCACTGATTCGTTTATTCAATCGTATTCATGATTATTGTTGTTGATGATGGATTCGTGTATGAATCTCAATTACCACCTCCTACCCCGCGGGCAGGCGCGGCAGCTCAACGCGGTGTGGGTGGAGGCCTCGACGGGAGCGCCGTCATGCACCGAAAGCCTGGACACGGTGCACACGCTGCTCGAAAATTTGCAGGACGGCGCGCACTCGGGGGAGGGGCGGTCGGCGCAGGTTGTGCTCGATGCGCTCACCGCGAACGCACGGCAGGCCTTCCGCGTGCTGTTGCAGCACCAGCTGGCGGAGCCCAAGTCGGCCGGCCTCTCCTTCCATCAGCTCTACGCGGACTGCCGTGCGGAGCTCTGCGTCTCCTCTGAGGCGGCCCTCAAGGGCCACGTAACCGAGTTCACGGACCACCACCTCGTTCGCACGCGCCGCGGCGCCGGCGACAAGCAGTGCTACTTTTGCACGTTGCCGCGCGAGCTCATGGAGCAGATCGTAAGCAGCGGAGGGTGACCGGGACGGCGCGGCACCACGGCGCGGCCCACTCCGGCCAGTGGCCGCGCCAGCCGGTGGGAACGCCCCCCCCCCCACACACACACTATGTGCAAAGAGCAGCACAGCAGGGTCCTGCTGCTCTTGACTGAGTGTATACCAGATAGGTACTCGCGCAGCCGGCAGCGCCCTTGTGCGGGAAGGAATTTTTTGCACACTGTAGTAACAAATATCAACTTGTGGAACTTGTGCCTTGAGTCGGCGCGCGCGGGGCGTGTGCGGCCTGCGCACTGCGCCGGCGGCACGAGCAGGGCGGCAGCGCGTCCCCCCCGCAGGCGATGACAATTTGAACTCGCCCGTCGCGTATCCCCGCCAGGAGACTGCATGCGAGCGCTCGTATGTCTTGTAACGATACGTACTGACGTAGTGGACATTGCCTGAGTGAGTTGGGCAATAGTTGGGCAATACAGTGGAGCAGTGATGGTGCTAGACGATCGGGCACAGGCAGCACTCCTCGACTCTGCTTTCTGCCTCCCACCACAGCCTGCAGCACGATTTTGAGCTTGGCGAGCCTGTCCCGTCCGCGGCCCTGCTGTCCTTCCGTGAAGCAAGGTCGCTCGTGGTGGTTCGTGAAGTGAGGTCCTCAGGCTCTGTCGCTGATCTGCGAAGCGATGCCACGTCGAGCTGCATCTGATTTGGCTGCTCGGCAGTCTGTGGAGTGATGCCACGCCGAATAGCGTTGGTGTGCGGCGCGGCTGTGGCGACGGCCACTCGACACATTGAGTGGCGGCCGGCGGCTCGGAGAGACGCGGGAATTATGTTTTTCTTTTTGCACCGTCTGGCGATCCTTAGTTGTGTCTGTGTGTCGCTCAGTCGGACCGCGGCTTTCGCCCTCTGCGCGCCGAAGGCGGCGAACGCCGCCACCGCCTCCTGGCCCGGGACGACACATGCACACATGCACATGCACATGCACATGCACATGGCACATGTGACATGACACATGCACATGCACATGCACATGTGCCATGACGCGTGCCACGCGGTGTTGGCGGCCTAGTTGGCGGGGCTTGGCGCGAAACACCACACATTAGAACTCGATAGAACGAGGACGGCGAACAAGCCATCAATCCCCAATCCGTATACGGTATAGGACGGCGATACTGATATTACTGTGGACTTATATCGAGATAACCCAAAACAACAAATACATGTGCACACGTACTCAATCGATCTCGCTTCTCGCGCAACCGTGACAACGCCGCGCAGCTCGCGAGAGTCCACAGCGCCACATGTTGTGCATGCACCTCCGGCGAGCATGCATGCACCTCTCACCAGCCAGAGACGCCGCTCACCTCTCGCTTCACGCTCGCCGCCAGCTTGCGCCGGTCCCGGTCTTTGGCCTCGTTCCGGGAGCCCTTTCCCGGTCGAGCGCTCGCCTTCTTGCGCAGCTCCTGTCGCACTCGGTCCGCGATCCGCGCACCGCCGCCCGGCTCAGCCCTCCCCTTCGGAACACTGCTCGCCGCCGCCGCCTCCCGCACGGTTCGGGCCTGGCCGGCGTGCACCGGCAAACTGCGGGTCGGCGCGGGCAAAGGCTCCTCTCCGTCGTCGCGGTCGCTATCGTCGTCGTCGTCGTCGTCGTGCAACGACGCTGCGCCGAGCGCGGCGTCGCACTCGGAGATGCATGCCCCGCTACCGCTGGCCACGCAGCCTGCGCTCGAGCCGCTCGCTGCCGAACTTGCATCCTCGCTGTGTCGGCTGCTCGGTTCGGCGGGCCAAACGCCAGCCTCGGGGGAAGCGGAGGCCCGCAGAGGAGGGGTAGCAGCGGCGAGTGGGAAGGACGCGTCGTCGTCTGCGCCCCTCCCCACGCAATCCCGCCCGTGCGACCCCCTCTTCGCCGCCGCCTCCTCGCCCTCCTCATCCTCCTCACTCTCGATGCCCTCCTCGTCCTCCTCGCCCTCGCTGCCCTCCTCGCCCTCGTCCTCCTGCCCTGCAGCCTCGCCGCCATCCGCCGCTCCCATCGCCAACTCCTCGCCGACGGCCTCAAACTCGCGCTGCTGCGAGGCGCCTACACAGAGCCAATCCCCCTCCAGTGAGCGAGACCGGAGCCTAACCCCCCTACACCTAACCCACACACACACGACGCACCCCAGCCGCTCGCCGCCAGAGCAACATCGAGCTCATGCAGATTGGATGTGTCCACGTCCAGCTGCGGCACCTGCGTAGCCTCAAAGCCGAAGCGGCGGCGGAAGAAGGCACGGACGCACTCGACGTCGCGGTCAAAGTAAAACGCGGCGTTCGGGTGGGAGGTTGAGATCATCTGTCGCGGTGAGGCGGACGCACAGATGGGGCTCGGTGCCCCCCAGTCAAGCCACCAGGGCACCAGGGTCGCGATCGCCATCAGGGTGGGGCTGTTGGGGCGCTTTTGCACCTGCGGAAAGTCAATGAGGGTGACCTTCTCCTCGTCGTCGATCAGGAGGTTGAACTCGTTGAAATCGCCTGAGCGTGGAGTCGGGCTGCGGCGTGAGAGACCGGCGGTGCGGTAAGGCGGCGGCGGATGAGGAGGCGGCGGGTGAGGTGGCGGCGGGGGGGCGGGAGATGCACACAGTGGATAAGGCCATACGAAGCGAGCGTGCAGATCAGCTCCATGAGCGAGCTGAAGACCGCCGCGGGGTGGAGCAGCCGCTGGACCGAGTTGAGCTGGAAGCCTGCAGGTGCAAGGCACACCCTGAGAGCGCCCTCTCTCGGGCCTGCTGGGTGCTGTGGGCCGCGCACCGTGAGCCAAGGACATGACTACACAGTGGCGGTTCACGTCGATCGGAGTCGGCACCGGAAGCCCCTTCGCGTGGAGAGCAGACATGAAGGCGTACTCTTTGAGGGCCGACAGGCGGCTCATGTACAGCCTACGCTTGGAGTCGGCCGAGGTGTGCTGCCCGGCTCTCGCACGGGTGGGCGGGCTCCGAGAGAGAGCGCGCGCGCGCGCGCCAGTTGAAGGACTGGCCGGGGCGCGTGTAGTCGCGGTTGTTTTTGAGCGTGCGGAAGGTCCGACCGAGCTTGTGCAGTTTCAGCGCCACCTCCTCCCCCTCTGGCGTGACCGCGGTGAAGATGTCGGACTCCTTTCCCACGCCAACCTGGATGCCGATGGCGGACAGCGAGCCGCGCTTGCAGAGGGTCTTGAGAGCGAGGTAATCGTAGCCCTTTGACGTGAGCCGGTAGCCATCGTACGGCTTCGAGGAGTGCGCGACCAGTTTGTTCTTGGCCAGCAGCCGGATCAGCTTGTATGCGCCGCCGCGCTTGAGGCCCGAGATGGACTCGATCAGTGCGCTCGGCACAACCTCGTGATTCTTCATCCCCATCTCGCACGCTGTGAGCACCCGGAACTCATCGCTGCTCATGTACCGGAGCACCTTCACATCCAGGTTCGGCATCTTTTGGGCGCTAGCACCACCCGGCAGCTGGGCGTTGGCACGCCCGGCAGCGGCGGCGACCTGCGCGACGTCGCTCGTCTGTGTGGAAGAGAAATGAAGCGCGGCAGCCTTCGTCCCCAGCGTCGGCCTGGGGGAGCGCCTGGGAGAGCCTTGGTCACTGGGTTCGGTTGCTGTATGGGTTAGAAGTGCTGAAGCTACCTAACCTAACCTAACTGAAGGCAGGGATGGATGGAAGAACCGCCCACATGTCGACGAATGAAGTTGCGCAGAGCAGGATCATGTCTCAGAAAGAGCACGCACGTCAGTACCGCACCGCCAAGCTCCGAGCCGAGTGGGGAGCGAGAGACACCTCATCCTCAACGCACAACGCAGCGCGCTAGGATGAGGAAATTTGAAAAAGAAGAAAAAGAAATCGCGTAATGCGGAGCCTTTTATGTGTCGCTGCGAGTGTTTCCTGTTCTCGTGCTTAGGCGCGCACCGCGCGTCACCTATTGCAGCTGAGTGCTGAAGCCTGGCGAACTTCGATTGCATCACGGCCTTGTCAGGCCTCGCCCACGATGCCCGGTTCTCTGCGCCGTTTCCTCCTGCAGCTCTCTCTTGCCTGTGCATGTGGCACGTCCAACTACATATCGTCAGCGCTATCCTTATTTGGTACCTTCCAGAACAATGAGATCATGAGCCTACTGTCTTCGAACGCGGTGCCTAGCACGTGGCGCCGACTTCCCATCGTTGACGTTGGGACCAATGATGGAACCGACTTCACGATGCCAGGGTCAAAGGTGGGCCACCGCGTGTACAGCTTCGAGCCAAGCCCGATCGTGTACGCCCGCATGCTGCGAAACCTGCAGCAGAATGGAATCAGTGTGGCCAATGACAGCGTTGGCTTTCGGAGCGCCAAAGCGGGTACGGTTCTTCCAACGCACGCAGCGGTGTCAAATGTGACGGGATCAGCTCCGTTCTTGGTGGCCGAGCGAACTACTCTCGACCGTTCGGGCAAAGCCAGTTCGTTGAGCGCCGACGCCATTCCGCGAGGATCACGCATCCGGACTGTTACGGTGCCACTAGTGACGCTTGATAGAATGCTGGCTGAGGAAGACAAAGGCTTGTTCATCCTCAAGATTGATTCCCAGGGCCACGAGTACCACGTGCTACAGGGTTGCGTCCAATACATCCGAACGCATCCCGTCTACTACATCCTGCTTGAGTTCTATCCGAAGGGCTTACGAGCTGTCAACATCGAGCCTCTGACCCTGCTTCAATTCCTCCACTATGAACTGGGATACCAGTGCTTCGATTTGGGGCGGAATGCGCGAAATCACGGCGCTATGGAGCTCTCTGCCTTTGTCACCTATTATGGCAAGCCAGATACTCGAATAGGCTCGTACGGCCGATTCACGGACTTGATTTGCGTCAACTTTGCTGTCATGTAGAAAAGAGTACGCATACACACAGCTAAGGATGTATTGGTTGAGTGGATCTAGGGCAATGTAAATCGCATAAAGGTGTATAGTCTCCCGGGTCGGTTTGGGGTATTGGGTTATAGATAGGGATCTCTAATTCTGAAGGCGTACCCGTGGGTTTCACACCCGGGGCAGGCAGGGGGGATAAGCTCTGTCCTTCTCCCACGGTCTGGTCGTGGTCGAGAGACCGAGGTGCCGAACTGAGAGGCACTACTGGAGGCTCTACCTCCGGCCACCGCTCGACTACCAAGGCACATGGCCGGTCCTGTGGCTTGCCCCCGCCTCGCTCAGAAGCCTCAATTCGCGCACACCTTTGCTCTCTGGCTCCCGCGAGTGCGTTCAGGCCACACAAGCAGGCGACAGCACCCGCAACGCATCTCTCGCTGGGGCGCCACCTATCGACCCGACTGATTGGCAGCATCAAAGCCGACCCCATGACGGTCCTTCAGCCCCACGAGATAGGCAGTTGCGCCCTGATCTCGGTCCAAGACGGCCAACGCCGTGTCCGGCACCTGCTGGCTGCTTCACGGGGATGCCCCCCCCGGACACATGCTGCAGCCCCGAGTGGATGTATTGGTCGTTTGTCGGTCCCACAAGACTACTCTAGTAGGGGCCAGGCGCTTGAGCGTCGGCGGTACACCTGTGCAGATGTTGCACGGGTGAAATGGCTCCTCGTACAGGGTAGGTAGAGGAGGCAGGTGGTGGGTTTGAGTGTCGTGAGTGCTTGCAGCCGCGAGTGCAGCACCGTTTGTGACTCCCATGGATGCAGTTGGGTGGGGCACGGTGCTGGGGGGCGGTCCGGTGCGCCACAACAGCCTCCCCAGCTGACCCCCATCCATCCAGTTCGGCACCTCCATCCTGACCGTGGAACCCCAACTTCAACCGGTCATATCTCGGGCGGACTGGCACCTCAGGAGCTCATCCTGGGCGGTTTTGGGGAGTCTTGGGGGTGTACTTGAAGGTGGTAAAAAGAGTTTTGCACCGCAGCTTAACCGGCGGGCGTGCTGAGCAGCGTGAAAACAGAAGGACAGAGCTTATCGCAGGCAGTACTCGAGTACCTGGGTACTAGCTAGGTACCTCATGTATCGGAGTTATGGTCCTGATACGACCTGTGAACGTGAAGAGAGTGGTACCAGCACTGTCGATCGTTACGGCACGCAAGGGGGGCCTCCCGGACGTATGATCCTAGCCCAATAAGTTCCACGGAGCAGATTTGGATTTTTGACAGAATTAATGCACTGCCCCCGCACGATACTAACTATCGTAGTTTTGGTCCCGGTGCCCTTCACGGCACCACACCGCCGCTTGAAGGCCCGAGATTAGCCTAGCAGTGAGTGGGCATCGCCTGCCGGTCGGCTGGGCACGAGCCAAGCACTTGGGTGGCCGTCGACCGAGTCCGAGCGGCGCCTGAGGTGGGTGCCACGGCGTCCGCACGAAGGCGTGGCGGGGTGAGGAGCCAGGGGTGGTGAACACCTCCCCGACGGGCGCGCGGCGCGCCGGATGGTCCGCCGAGGCCGCCGCCGCCCCGGCGGCGGCGATGGGGGCGGCGGGGCCGACCCGGCCGGCGTTTGTCGGCTCCACCTACAGAGAAGCAGCCTCTGTGGGTCGACGATACTAACTCGGTAGTAACGCGGAGCGGTGCTGTGCGGCGCCGAGTCGTGCGCGAGGCGACCTCCTGAGGCTACCTGAGCTGGCAATGGATGCCACCAGGACGCACGGCTAGCAGGAGCCAGTCAGGCATGCCCTGCTGTGGAGCAGAGCCAGCTGGCGCACCGGCGATACTAACTCAGCGCGCCGCGAGAGGCGAATCTGGGCGACTTTGGAGGCGCAGTTCTCGAGCTTGCCGTCGACGATTGATGTCGGGTAAATTGTCACTGCCGTCCGGGAAGGTCTTCTCTCAACAGGCCGAGCGCCGTGGCCTGGCTCGGCTCGCCGCGAACGCCGCGAATTTATCAGGACCAAAACTCACGAGACCTCGATACTAACAAAAACTACGATACATGAGGTACGGCACAGTACAGGAAAACAGTACAGGAAAACATGTCCGAGATCTCCGTCTCCGTCTCATCCGGCCTGACCGAGGACCAGCTCGACCGCCTTGCCGGGCTCGAGCGGCTCGACGCGCTCGACCGCCGCGACCGCCGCGACGCGTGCGCGGCGGCGGAGGCAGCCGCAGTTCGGTTGGGCCGGCTGGACAGGCTGGACTCGTTCGATGCTGAGGCGCAGGGGCGCGCACTGCTCAAGCGGCTCGTCGACGAGTGCGGCCAGGAGCACCTCGTGTCCGGATGGCCGCGGGATCGGGCGGCATCGGCCGACGAGAGGAGGCTGCAGTCGCAGCTGCTCGCTCTGCACCGCTCCCTCGCCGGTGGCCTGGACGGTTACGTGTGCCGAGCGCGCGAGCTGCTCGAGGCGTCGAGGCTCGGGCGGAACCCGCTCGACGGCTACAGCCCCTCGCTCCCCGTGGGCGAGACGCTGGACTTTGGGCGCGGCGCTTTCCTCAAGTACGAGGAGGAGGGCTTGGCGGCGATGCGCGGCGCGGCGTTCGTGCTCGTTGCAGGCGGCCCACGCCGCCCCTCCCGCCGCCCCTCTGGCTGCTGCACGTCGCCTTTTCTGCCGATGCCCGTCGTCTGTGCCATGTCGTGAGCGGGACCCTGGCAGCAGGCGGTCTCGGGGAGCGACTGGGCGCATCCGGCATCAAGCTCGACCTGCCCGCAGAGCTGGCGACCGGGACCTCCTTTCTCGCCCTCTACGCGCAGCACATCCTCGCCCTCGGCGCCGCTGCTGGCTCAGCCGCTTGCTTGCCGCTCGTCCTCATGACGTCGGACGACACGCACGCCCGCACGCTGGCGTCGCTCGAGGCGGGCGACTACTTTGGCCTCGACCGGCGGCGCGTCTTCCTCCTCAGGCAGCAGGCGGTGCCTTGCCTCGCAGACGCAGGCGCCGCCCTCGCAGTCGACCCGAGCGACGCGTCTCGTGTGCTCACCAAGCCAAACGGGCGCAACTTGCCCGGAGCCCGCAACTTCGGCGGGGGGAGAGGGCAAGACGCGTGGACCGCCGCGCCCCGTAGGCACGGCGAGGTGCATCGGCTGCTTCACAGCTCGGGGCTCGCCGCCAAGCTCCACGGTGACGGGTGCACGCACCTCGTGTTCTTCCAAGACACAAATGGCGCCGTCTGGGCGCTGCGCCGGCCGCCCTCGTTTTCTGTTCACTCTCGTGGTTGTGGGCAGGGCTCGTCTTCAACGCGGTGCCCGCCGCCCTCGGCGTGTCCGTCCGGCGCGGCCTAGCGCTCAACTTCGTCTCGGTCCGGCGGCGCGCGGGGGACGCGTCGGGCGCGCTCATAGAGCTAGTCCGCGAGCGCGGCGGCGGCGACGGCGGCGGCCGCGTGCTCGCCAACGTGGAGTACAACCAGCTCGAGCCGTTGCTGCGCGCCGCCTCGGCCGGCGCGTCGGGCGACGAGCCGGACCCGGCCACGGGATGGTCGCCCTACCCCGGCAACTGCAACCAGCTCGTCGTCGCGCTCCGTCCGTGCGCGGCCGCGGGCCGCCGCACGCGACGCGTCGGACGCGCCGTGAGACGTCGGGCATACACGCGGGTAGGTACGTGGAGGTGCTGGCGGCGAGCGGCGGCGTGGTGCCCGAGTTTGTGAATCCAAAGTACAGCGACGCGTCCCGCAGCGGCTTCAAGAAGCCGACGCGGCTCGAGTGCATGATGCAGGACTTGCCGTGGCTCCTCCACCGCCATGCGCCTCCGCACGCCGCGCCCGTCTCCTTCACGGCGATGGACGGCGCTTTCACGTATGCCCCCGCCAAGAATTCGCTCCATGAGGCGCGAAAGAACGCCGCCGCTGGCCGCTCCCCGGCGAGCGCCCCATCTGCCGGCTCGACCTTCTCTCGCGAGAGACGTACCGCGAGACAGCCGGAGTCTAGGCGAGCGCGTCCTCTGCCGAGCTCTCCCTCTACGCGGCCAACTGCGCCCTCTGCTGCGGTGGCGGGCTGGCTCCTCGGATGAGTCGGTCGACTCGTTGCTTGCGTGATTAGGCGCCATCCTCCGCCTGGCGGGCGCCGCGCTGCCGCCGCCCGCAGAGGCGACGGTCGCTGGCGTGCAACGGCTGCCGGCGACGCCGTGGGTGGTGCTCACTCCCGCCTTCAAGCCGAGTGTGGGCATCGCGCTCTCTCGCTTCTCTGGTGGCGCCGCCATTTCGCTGACCGCCAGTTCTGGCTTGCTGCTGGATGGCGACATCACCGTCCAATCGCTCTCACTCGACGGCGCCCTTCGCATCTCCGCCGTGCGCGGCGCTCGCGTCACGGTCCGCGCGCTGCGGGTGAGAAACGCCGGTTGGAGAGTGCGAGAGCTGTCGCCCGAGGAGGCCGCGGATGAGGCGACGCCTGAGGTCCTGCGCTTGCGCGGCTACGCACTCGACGTGCTCGAGGAGAGGGTGTTGCACTTTGGCGTGCCCGGGGAGCACATTGTCGACGAGGCTTGACCGTCACCACGCCAGCCGTGGGGGCTTGACTGACCGTCGTACTAGATGCATGTCTGATGCATGTGTGTATAAACTGCAGCCAGCCGGCAGGGTGTTACTAACCGCGCGCTGCGTCTCTCGCGGCTCGGTCGCTGCTACACACGCCGGGGGGCGACGGCTGCGGAGACTGCGCGCGTGCCGCGCCTTCCTGTTCCTCCCTTCCAGTGGCAGTGCCTGCGCGAGGCCAGCCTGCGTCTGGTCTCACATCACACATGGGAGAGAGTCGCTCTCACAGGACACACACGCAGCAGTCAGCACGGAGGAGCACGGCTGTCGGCTCCGCTCTCGGCCCTGGTCGCGCGCCGCCCTCATAGCTCATTCTTTGCCGCGCCTCGCGCGTTGCTCTCACATATTTACTTAATTACACTCCTGCGCAACTGGGGCCGGTTCGACTGCCGAACGCGGCTCGCCCCCCCCCCCCCCCGCCCCCCGACGTGCTCCGCCCCTGGTGAGCCCTCTCCTCCCGAGGCAGCCGCGTCAGTGGAGGTCCCACCGACTGGTCTCGTAGTCCAGAGAGAGGGCGAACTTGTAGCCCGCCAGCGGTCGGAGCGCCTCCATCATCTGAGGCAGCGCCTGCTCGGACGAGCGCACGTAGGCCCACGCTTCGTAAAACTTGCCCATCGTCTCCGGGTCCGTCGTGAGCACCGCGACCCAGTCGTGCAGCTGCGCGTGGTTGAGGCCGCAGCAAACAAAGGAGCGGAACTTGATATTTGGGTTGGCGGCGGGCCCCTCGAGCCCCGTCGAGTTGACCTCCACCACGGTCGCTGTGAGCGACTTCTCGGCAGGAGTGTAGCCGCCGCCGCCCCGCTTGACTCTCTCGTGCGTCGCCTCGCATGCATGCTGCACAAAATCCTGCATGGGAAGCAGCAGCGGCGGGGGTCGGTGCAGCGGGCGGGGCGCGTGGTGCGGCGTGGCGCGGCGCGGCGCGCCCAGATGTGGTAGCGGCCGATGAGTTTGAACGACTTGAAGCCGTGCAGCAGCACGCGCGAGAGCGCGGTGCACAGCTGACCGCGCACGAGCACCGCAATCTCCTTGTTCTTCTGGTCATTGCCCAGCAGCTCGAGCGTCTTGCCCGAGCCAGCGACCGCCGCTTGCGCAAAGTGCGTCCCGATCGCGGCTATCGCCGCCTGCAGCACCGTCAGCGCGTCCGAAGGCGGCGCCATCATCGACGCCACCGGCTGGCGCGCGCCGCCGCCCGCCTTGCGCGCGACCGCACCGGCGGTGGGCGCGCTGGACGCAGCGCCTTGGGTGATGCCGAGGAGGTCGAGGAAGCCCCAGCTCGCCTGATGCGGGCGTGGCGGGGCGGTGGGGTGTGTGTCGAGCCCCCAACCCCGCCCCAGCTCTCCCTCCAGCTCGCCTTGCCCGAGGTGGAGCCGCGCGCTTGCTGCCGCGACACCGCCTGCGCTAGCGCCGCCTTGGTGCTCGCCGCCGACGTGGCAACGCTCGAGCGCGGCCGTCCAGAGGCATCACGCGGCGTGCGACTCCCCCCCCCTGCCAGCAGGTCGTCCACCTGCTTGCGCGAAGCCGCTAGCGCCTCCTCCAGCGCAGCGACCTTCTCGGCCAGCGCCGGAACCTGTTCCGCCGCCGCCTCGAGCTTCGCGAGCCGCGCGTCGAGCTCGGCCGACATCACGATGCCGCCGCCGACGCCAGCACTCCCGCTTCCGCCGCCCGCCCCACTGACGCCGTTCGCAACCTCTGCGGGCCGGGGACGCGACTTGGCGGCGTACTTGGCGGCGTTCGCGCCGCCCGCGCTGCTCTTGGCCATCGCGCGAACCCGCTCCGTCTCCCCCGCCCGTCGCGCCGCTGCATCCGCCTCCTCCCGCTCGCGCGCCGCCGCGGCCGCCGCCCGCCGCCGCTCGCGCAAGTCGGCCAGCGGGGCGCCATGCGTCTTGCGCGCCGCGTGGCCGCGCGCCATGCGCTGCACAAAATAGGTTGCCCAGTGGAAGCGGTGGAAGCGCGTCATGGCGACGAGCGCGCGTCCACGCGACTGCAGCCGGATGGCGGCGTTGCGCCGCCGGATCTCGCGCGCGCGCCGGACCGACAGCTTTGGCGCGGTGGCCATCAGCAGCATGAAGCGGCACGCGGTGACCAGACGGCGCAGCAGCCGCAGCTCGGCGAGGAAGCGCACCATCCGGCCAACAGCGACGACGGCGATGGTGTGGCGACGCCAGCGCTTCTTGATGAGCCACCGGCGGACCTTGTTCGCGATGTCGGGCGCGAGCTCCTTGTAGTCGGAGCCGGTCAGGTCGTCGAGAAAGGCGAGCTTGCCTGCGCGGAAGAAGACCTTTGTGATGCCCAGCTGGTAGTCGGACTTGTCCAGCCCGAGCGCGAGCAGCAGAATCTCGCAAAACGAGGGCGAGTCGAGCATCGCGATGCTCTTTGGCATGACGTCCTTGTACCGCTCGTAGAGCGAGTCGTACGGACAGCGCGTCGGGAAGCCCTCGTGCATCAGCCGCAGCGCCTCCATCATGCCTAAGGCGACAGGGAGGACAGGGCTCAGTTTTGAGCGCCGCCTCTCCACGGCGCCGCCGCCCCCGCGGCTTGCCCGAGCAGCGCAGCTGGTGGAGGACGTGGCCGCCCGCGAACGCGCTCGGCTGCTTCTCAGTGTTTGGGTTGATGCAGCGCACGAACGTCGAATTTGTCTCGCGCAAGTTGGTGAGCAGCGAGGTGAGCTGCCCGCTGAAGTGCGCCGAGACGCTGGAGAACCGAGCGCCGCTCGAGCCCTTGCCGGCGCGGCTCGCGCGGCCGGGCTTGGCGGCGACTGACGCGCGTGCCGACTGGTCCGCCTCGGCCACGATCTCCGCGAGGAGCGGCGCGGCGGCTTGCTTCAGCACCTGCTCGAGGTCGGCGTGCAGCGAGTTGTTGTTTTTTGCCAAGAAGCCGTCTGCGGTGTACGTCACCTGCCCGGCATAGTGGCGCACGACGAACCCCTCGTTGGCGAGCATGTTTGCGCCGCGCCCCACAGCGGCGAGCACAGACTCGCGCACTGCGGCCGCGTGCTGCTCGAACAGCTTCTCCACAAACGTGCGGTGCGTCGTCTTTGGCAGCTTGCACTGCTCGTCGAGCAACGCAAAGAGGCCAACCGGCGTGTCTGGCGGCCGCGCCGACAGCATGGCGATGCAAGCCTGATTGTTTGGCTCGTCGATGGGGTCCCAGACGATGGCCTCGCGCAGGTAGATTTCCTGCTCCTGGCGGAAGATGCAGGTGTTGAAGTGCGACTGCAGCATCTCGTTTGCAAAGTTGATGCACAGCTGCTCGAACGAGTTCGTCTCGAACTGCTCAAAGCCGAAGATGTCAAGCACGCCGATGAAGGCGCGCGTGTCGGCCTGCGTGAGCAGCGACTGGTTGACCGCCCGGACGAGCCAGTCGAAGAGCTTCGCGTAGATGGCCTTGGCGAGCGTGTCGCGGGAGTAGTTCGCCTCCTGTGCCTTGAGCGGGATTTTGTACACCGAGCCCGAGAGGGACTTCATCGTGCGCGACGTCAACGCCTCCTCGAGCGCCGCCGGAGGCAACTGCATCAGCCGCGCCGTCGCGTTCACCGCGTCGGGCGCCGAGACGGCGCACGACTCGGCGTCATCCGTCGAGTCGAAGCCGATGTTGCCCAGGTGCAGCAGCGCCGCGAGCAGCGCGTTGATGCCGCGCTGCTGCTCTCCGCTGATGCCAATGGTGCGCATCGCGGCGCACATGTCTGCGTACGCCGTCTTGTCGTCAATCGCAGAGACCTCGATCACACCGGCACTGAGGTACGCGTAGTCTTGCGGCGCGGCCAGCGACAGCTCCGCCTTGTCGGCGGCGGTGAGGCCGGCGAAGAGCTGGTAGAAGGCATGGTAGTTTCGCTCGAGGGGCGACTGCACCACAGTGCGCGACTTTTCGAGCAAGTAGGTTACGACGTCGGCGCCCACTAGCCAGTTGCGCGCGTCGAAGTGGATGCGCGTGAATTTGCCGAAGCGCGAGGAGTTGTGGTTCATCACCGTCTTGGCGTTCCCAAACGTCTCGAGGATCGGGTTGCACTCGAGCACCTTTTCCGACAGGCTCGAGAGCAAATCGGACGCGCGCCTGCGTGCGACAGGCTTGAGGCGGTGGGAGAGGCGCCTCACCGCCGAGACACGCACGTGTGCGGCGGCGGCGGCGGCGGCGGTGGCGGCGGCGGCGGCGGCGGCGGGGCGGGGCGGGGCGGGGCGGGGCGGGGCGGGGCGGGGCGGGGCGGGGCGGGGCGGGGCGGGGCGGGGCGGGCGGGCGGGGGGGGGGGGGGGGGTTCGACCCCTTTCCTCCGAGGCGTTGCCCCCGCGCTTGTCCACCTGGCGTGGACGCAGGCGGGCGATTGGGCGGCCTCGGCCGGGGAAGGTAAGCCCGACCTCAAAAGGCCCGGGCGGTGGGACCAGGGGGCGAGGCGCGGCGTGCACCTTTGGCGCTCCGCACATGGCCAGATACTTCATCACAATCTTTGCGCTCTCGGTCTTGCCGGAGCCAGATTCGCCCGAAATCATGATGGACTGCGAGGTACCGTCGACCTGCGGACAGGCGGCAGGCAGCGTGGCGAGGAGGGGAGGGGAAAGGGAGGAGGGCGCTCGCTCTGGGCCCGCCTTCATAGATCGAAACGCACGGTCTGCCATCGCATACAAGTGCGGCGGCAGCAGCCCAATCGACTTGCCGCGGTACGCCTTCATCACCTCGGCGCCTGCGCAGAGGGCCACAGGCGCAGAGGGACCGTTCTGTGGCGGATGGATATAGTTGTGAGCGCTGCGCTCCCCTCGCCGCACCGTAGCACGCGAGCTTCTTGTACGGGTTGACGGCGATGAGGATGTACCCCGTGTAGGTGTAGATGAGGTCCTTGGCGTAGCGGTGGCGCCTAGCACCCATGGAAGCCCCGCCCTCGGGAGGTTGCGCTGGGGCCGGAGCTTGGAGCCCGTGTGTAGGGCACAGGTTGAAGAGCAGCGATGGCTCGTGCAAGTGCATGAGCTGCGTGTTGTCGTCCACGCCGTTCAGGTTCTCCGGGTTCATCGGCTTGGCCAGTGAGCCTGGAAACGCCATGACCTGTGCGGGGAGGGCCGAGGGCGACCCCGTCTCGCTGTGCGCATCCCTCAGCGTCACTCTGCGGTCTCTCGGGCGGCGCGCGTCACCTTGACCTCGCTCGCAGAAACGTGCAGCTTGACCTGCATCCGATCGCCCTCAGAGTCGTGCTGCAGCACCTCGCCAACCGCATAGCCCTCAGGGGAATGCGGGAACCAGAACTTGGGGAGCGCGTCGGCGGCGTTCGCCCGGCTGGTGGTCATCACGGCAGCCGCTGACTGCTGGCGCTGGTGGCAACCGCGCTTTTCCACCTGGGAGGGAGGGAGGGGGCTTGACACGTGAGTAGCTTGACACACGAGGATAGCGCAGCGGCATATGCAGCGCAGCGCGTGTGACCATCACAAGCGCAAGGGCACGCGAGCGCCGTGTTTGTTCGCGCGGGTGGCGCTTGCGCGAGGGAGGCGCGTGGCGCAAGGCGTTGGGAGAGACTATGGCTGAGCACGGCTGGCGAGGGTGCCGGCGGCGGCGTGTGGCATCGGCAGCAAAGGCCCGGCAGTGGGCCGGGGGCAGGGCGGAGTGGGAGCGGGGGCGGCGGTGCCGACGCCCAAGCGGCGGGGCGCGCGGGGCGGTGGTGCGCGCGAGAGGGCGTGTGGGGCGGTGGGGCGCGCGCTGTGTGTGCGCGCATGTCGAGGCGGGAGTGGGGAGGAAGCGCGCACAGCAAACGGCTCTTCGGCGGGGCTGCTCGAGTCGAAAGAGTGAGGCGAAAAAAGGTGCCGAGGCCGAGGTACGCGCCTCAGCGGAGCTGGGAATAGGACCGCGCAAGCGGCGTGGCGTGGAGCGGTTGTGCATCCCACCGGGGCCCCCTCTGCGCCGGGGAGGCGTTGTTGGAGGCTAGGACGCAAGCGTCCGTCGCCCTTTTTCAAACTCGGGGCCGATTCCGAGAGAGTCAGAGAGAGAGAGAGATTTTTAGAATACCAAACAACTCTAACACTCACACGTCATTTGGGGCCTGGAGCCCTGTTCATGCGCGCGCGAGACGTGCAGACAGGGCTGCCAGGTGAGAGCGAATGGCGCGGTTCACGCCTCGCACAACAGAGAGAGAGATGCGCTCTGCATGGTGGGACATAAAAGAGAGCGAGTACTTGGGCGAGTAGGCTGTGCGGTCAACGCTGCCGCGCGCGACTTTGCGCGCGAGGCGGAGAGAGAGATTCGAGGCGGCGCAGCTTGAGAACGTTTGTTCCGATTCCGCTGCGCTCCGACCCGAATTTGGAGGGCCATGAAATTTAGAGAGAGATTTTTAGCAATACCAAACAACTCTAACACTCACACGTGTTTTGAAATTTAAGGTGTTGCTGCGCAAAAGGGGTCGGACACAGGGCGCAGCTCATGCTAAGAGCTAGAAGAGGAGATAGAGAGATTAGAGAACAACCACCCGTCCCGTTATTGCGTACACCAGAGCGTGGCGAGGGAGGCGCGAGGCTCGGGCCTCGGCGCGGCCCGTCGGCGCCTAGGGTTAGGGTTAGGGTTAGGGTTAGGGTTAGGGTTAGGGTTAGTGGCGAGGGAGGCGCGAGACTCGGCGCGGCCAAGCGGCGCCTAATCTCGGCAAAATCCAAATTCGTAAATCAATCTGTTAAAGCCACCATCAGCATCACAAACAAACAAAGCTACCAGGGGCTTCCCGCAGAGCTGTCGTAGCCGGCCACCTCGCCACGCCGCCCGTTGTGCTCGGGCCGTGTGTGACGAGGCCGTCGAGCTGCACCGCCGTTCCCTCGTGAAGCATGGTTGCCTCGATGGCCAGGGCGCGACACCTCTCAGTCTAGCGACCTGCCTCCAGCTTCTCACTGGCAGTCTCTCACTAGACACTACTAGACACTACCACAGGCACACTGACAGGGGCGGCGGGCGGCCGAGGCACACGCCGAGGGTGGCAGGGGCGGTGGCAGGAAGGAGATTAAAATGAACACAAAAATGAATGAACTCGGGGGCACGGGACGCGGCACAAACGGGGCACAAACGCCAGGCTACAAAGACGGGGCGGAGGCACGTAGTGACGCAAGGGAGTCTAGGCGACGGTGTCTCCCACAGACTTGTGTGGTGTGTGGGCTTCGTCACCGCTAATTGCATTCTCGATCCTTCATATCGAGGCCCTCTCATTTGGCCGATCTCGATGAGCTTTTCTGCCCGCCGTGGGCCAACAAGATTGTCAACGAAACGATCATCAGGTGCTCCTGTCGCGCGCCCCTCGCCCCCTCGTCGCCTGCCGATCACGCCGTCCATTTTGCGCGGCAGGTGCCACCTGCGGTCACGCACAGGAGTAACATCTTCACGATGGCACGCGGCACGGTCATAACCATCCTCATGGCCGCTGTTGGTGCAAACGGGTTCGCATCAAGTCCTACAAAGACCCTCGATGTCGCGATCATTGGCGCAGGCACCGCAGGCACATACACTGGATGGCGCCTGCTAGAGGCGGGCCACCATGGGCCTGAGGATGTCCAGATCTTTGAGCGTGTCAACCACGTTGGCGGCCGGTTTTTCTCGCCGGTCATCGGTTGCGATGAGGACACTGAGCGTTCACCACGCACTGAGCTGGGCGGAATGCGGATCCGCAACACCGACGCCATGATGCTCGGCGTCTGTCGCACTCTCAACATTGAGACTGGCCCGTTCAACATGAACAAGAACGTGCCGAATCCGCCTGCGACTCAGGCTGAGCCCTTCAACCAGGCCGCGTACAACGAGCAGTGCGAGGGCAAGATCCCTGGGTGCGCTGGCGACGAACCCACCGCGCCCATCTTCCTCGGCGGGCTATTCAGTGACCGCGAAACTGTGGAGGCGCAGCTCTTGGAGAAACAGACCTACGCCCCGCCGACAGACAACACCGAGATGTCGATGTTTGGCAAGGTTCCCTACGTCATCGACGAGTGGCCCCCGCCTCACGTCGTCGCAAGCCGCATTGAGGCCAACCATGCGACAGGCACTGGCAACCCTTGCAACATAAGCAACGCGCACCACATCATGGAGGGGCCGACACACTCCGGGATCGGGTACGGTGGCAAGAAAGTGTTCGAAACCTCCACCTGGGACGCCCTTGCCACGGGACAGGGCGTCGATACGAAAGCTGTCGGCACGAACGAGTTCCATCTCATTGACTACCTCTCAGGCTACCAGGGCTACCTCGGATCCAAGTGTGCAACTACCATCTTAGCCCCACACTCTCCCCCCCCCTTTTTTACGGTAGCCCACACTCCCCCCCCCCCCCCCCTCCTACAATTCTCCCGCGCCATGCATCGGCGTCAGATCCGCCGTCAACGTCGGTGTCAACGACGCCACCTTCGCCCCGTCGGCCGAGGTCGTGGCGCCCCTCGAGCGCCCTACACAGAGTTATACGCGCCCGCTACGAGGCATGCAGGAGATCCCGCTCGCCATGGGCCGTGCGTTCTCGGAGCTCGGCGGCACAATCCAGCTCAATCATCAGCTACTTCGTGTCGAGAAGAGAGACACCGACTACTGGTTAACCTTCCGCAAGACGTGGACCTCCCCGTGCTCGGACGTGACGACCTTTGAGGGCCCTGGCGGGGGGGAGCTCATCACTGTGGCAGCAAAGCGGGTTGTCGTTGCGCTGCCTAAGTCTGCACTCAAGCGCGTCCAGTTTGTCGACTCCTCTGGCCGACTGCAGGATCGGGTAGACGCTCTGTGCAACGCCATTGCGTCCGCTCCCGCGATGAAGTACTTTGCATCGTATGCATCGCGCTGGTGGGAGACCTTCGCGCAGGATAACCACCCGGACTTCCCGAACGACGAGCCGTTTAACGTTGGTCGCGTCACCGGCTCCAACGTGGTGCCAAATTTTTTTGCGTGGTACCCGGGCGTGCAGCAGAACGCAGACAAACCGCGACCCCAATGCGTCGACGAAAGCATGGGCGTCATCCAGACCTACGTGACGGGCTTCTCCGACCGCACGTATGAGGGATTGCTCAGGCAGCAAGAGCAGAACCAGTGCAAGGAGACCGACGTCGAGCAGTGCAGCAAGTGCTTCAGTGATGAGACGGGATTTGTCGGACCTGCCGCCGACCATGTGACCAAGTCACTCGCGGACATGATGCGCTACCAGCTAGCGTACACCTTTGGTCTCGATCCTATCGACGACGCCGACAAAGTGCCCGAGGCCACTCAAATCAAGTACCGCATCTGGTCCAACGACAATCCCGTCACCCAGACGGATTCTTGCCACTACTTCAAGTCGGGACACAAGTGGTGGAAGCTCTACGAGGAGGCGCGCTTTTTGGACACGGGCCTACACCTCATTGGCGAGGCGTTCTCCTTCAACTGGTTCTGGGGCGAGGGCGCGATGGAGACTGCGGAGTACATGCTGCAGGAAGTCATGGGCTTGAAACGACCGTCGTGGCTTTCGCGCGAGGAATATTGCTGGGCGATGCCGTACTGGTGCCTCTCGCCTACTCGTAGCGGAGAGAAAAAATGGCATGTTCGTTGATTACGACTGAATACTCTGTATAGGTCCATCCCGCGCCGCAACTCGGAATGAGGATTCATTTCTCCCGCCGACCAATCCCACCTGTGCAGCGAGCTGCTTGCTTGCTGGCTGCTGAGTGAGTCCGCGCGCAGCCGCTGAGATCATTCTCTCCGTAGAGATCGCTGCGCGGATGTTTTTGGCGTTGCCCCCGGGTGGTTGGTTGCGCTTCAGGCCGGAGGGAGCAGGCGCGCACCCTCGCATGCTGAGATCCCGTGTTTGTTTCTCTTGCTCCTTTCCGCTTTTCCAGGGCGAACGGGGGGTGTCGTCGTCTCTGACTCTGTCACACTGCTGAGTGCTGTGTTGGTCTCGTTTCTCTCATCACGCCATCAGCCTCGTTCTTCGCGCATGTCTTGTCGCCCTAGGGGCTCGGGCCCAGGCCTGAACTCCTCACTGCACTGTCAGTGTATGTGTGTTGCAGATTGATTGTCCCATGTGAGAGAGTAAAATAATAAAACAGCAACAAACTTTTCGCTTTCTCTTTTTGCACAACACTGGGCACGTGCCAGTGCGCGCCAGTCCCGTGCCCAGTGTTGTGCGAGGGAGTTTTGTTGTAAGATTCTCTTTTTGGCGCTACACTCCATGCATCCGGGCTGGGGAGTTGAGTTGCATATGCAGTGGTGGCACTCGCTGCTGTCTGCCGACCCGATCTCACTCGACCCTCTCTGCGACCTCCCGCCCGTACCCCTACCCGCCCTTTGTCCTCTCCGCCGACCTGACGCAGCGATCGGACAATGACTACTTTGACGGGCACATCCTCGCTCGACCCACTCGGACACGCGCTCAATCGAGACGGATAAGACGGGGACACACCCCGCACCGTCCGCTGTGTCGCCGTCTTTGTCCGGAGTGAAAAGTCCAACGCGCTCGTCGTCGGCGGCTTCCTCCAACCTGCGCCGCGCTCGGCGAACCTCGACAGCGCCTTCGGTGGCATGCAGCTCTTTGCGACAGAAGCCTGGAGAGCAGCTCCTCTGCTGCTCACACACTCTGCACAGTTGACACAGCCTACTGTGCGGCTGCCACAGCTGTCACAGCGATGGGCTCGCCCTCACTGGCCCTCAGTCACTTGTGCTGCGGCTTGTGTGAGCGACACTGCTCGGCGACTGCCGGCACACTGTGAGACCATTGGTGTGAGGTAAAACCACGCTACCAGCGCTTGGTCACATCAGCCCCGAGGTCATATACATCCCGGATCGCACCGCGTGGAGGACACATGGAGGAAGTCACGACATGGGCAACTCAGGGTTCCGGCTCCTAGCCGGATAGGGGGTCTGCACGCCCTACCTACCTACCTATCCCCAGGCCGCGCACCAGGCCGCGCAGCGAAGCGAAAAAAGATGAAAATAGTGGTACCTACCTATTGCAGGGCCCTCTTTTGGGCGAAACAAGACCAACCTACCTACCTATCTGGGAGGGGCCAGCCAGTGTGGACAGACCCCCTATCCGGCTCGGCTAGGAGCCCGGGCCCAGTGTGCACTGGGTTCCAACTTTTCCGGGGTGTGGTATGGTACCGCCCAAAGCGCAAAGGGTGGCGGGGGGTGTGGTTGACCGCCCTGGAGGCTGTGCGAGTGCTGAGCCGAGGCCGTGACGGGGTGAGCTCGACCCTCGAGAGCTTATCACATGCATGACATGAGTTTATTTGGTTTTCTTTCTCCATTCCCGCCCGAAATTCCCGGGGTGTCTAGAACTACGGCTCAACATCGGCACACACGGTGGGTTTCAAGCGAAGGGCACTCACGCTGGCTGCACCCGTGCACGGGCCGCAGATCCATCTCAGATCGCAGCAGGCAACGCCCATCTCTCTTCGTTTGACATTTGACCCAGCTCGCAAACGCAAACCCAAAAACGAAAGAAAAGCGCGCAATGCACACTGACGTACGACGTACCGCGCCTCTACACACTGTGTCTCATACGAGCGTACCGGTCCCTCGAGCCCAGTCCCTTCCTCAGACTCTCTCCGGCTCCACTGACTGCTCAGCACGCAGCTCACCGCGCGAGCTCCATCAGCTGCGCCCAGGAGTGCCCGGCCTCTGGCGCCATCCTCTCCCAGATCACGCTCTTTTCGACGTGGTCCTTGGCCCGCTCATGCTGCTTCTCGATGGCAGCCACCATCATGCGGAGGATCTCGCCGCGCGGGAGGCTCAGCAGCCCACCACAGGGAGGTTTCGTCAGTCTCGGCGTCGCATCTGCCGCGCCGAGATTCGACGGACCGAAGGGGTAGAGGCTAGCGCTCTCTGTCGAGAAAAGCGCAATACTCAAGAGTGACAACGATTACTACATCTCGAGCGTGCAACGCCGCACAGTGCTCAGGGTTCGAGCAGGTGCAGGCGAGTGGAGGGGCCCCTGGCAGAGCCGCCAGGCAGCACTGCGGCTGTGTGGACATGAGTATCCCCTCTTGCTTCTCCTTACCGGTCCGTTCTCCTCGCCTACGGACCACCATCGCAGCTGCTGCCTCCGCTACCAGCTCTCGGGCTGCTGCAACGGCAGTTACCGCAAAGATCTCGCACCGAATGTGGACCCTGCCTTTCGCCGCCGCTACTTCCGACGTCGCCGCTCGACACGACCGGAGCTGTACGCGATGAACACGCGACGATCGACACGCCCTCTCTGCCTTGTGTGGCGATTATCACGTCGTGGGGGAGTGTTGGGCATCTGTTCGACGTGGCAATGCCACTCTACCTCATTGCTGTCTCTTCCTCGTCTCGCCTCCTCGCGCTAGCCCGTCCCGCTGTCCAACGCCTCTGGCAAGAAGTCCAATGCGCCTCTACGAGGATGGCATGCCTACGCTCAGACACATTCACACTCTGCTGTTGTTGTCTGCCGCATCCTCATTCATGAAGACTGCGGAGACAATGGGGGAGTGTTGGAGAGTGTGAACTCAAAACCTACTTCCTGACCGTAGCCTGACCGTCCTTGTGTAACCGTCTCATGTTTGGTTTGTCCTGCCGCGCACATTGTCATCGACTTGTATCCGACTTGGTGGCTGTGGTGATGTAGCGATGGTGTGGGTCTCTAGTGACCTATACAGCTCCTCCGTGTTCCGTCTCCTGACACCGTCAATCATCAGTACTCGCGTACCTTTCGCCAGCTCCCAGCTCGGCCTCGTGCTCGGCTCGTTCCCCTCAACACCTTTCGCCAGCTCCCAGCTCGGCCTCGTGCTCGGCTCGTTCCCCTCAACACATCAACTTTTGACACATTCCTCAACACTTTGGCGCATTCAACACGACTTGCAAGCTGTGGCTTCGTGTGCTTCTACCTGGTGCTTCCCTCACACTCGCTGCCGGCATTCGCGAGCTTCGTGAGACGCACCCGGCCCTCGCAGGTGTCCGTCCGTCAACTTGAGGCCCGCCGCCGCCAGCCATCCCAAGCTAGTCCCCAACAGACGCAGCACTGCCAATCGACACAAACAAAGCCCGTCGCCCGCCCAGAATAGCCCCAATACACACCCCGGAGAAATGCGACAACGTCGCGGCTGCACCTTTGGCAAGCGTACTTGGGCGGTCTCCGCCGTCGGCTACCTCGCCGGCCTCGTGCCAAGCCTGCCTCGCATGAGCATATGGCGAGTCATCGTCTTTCCCGTTCGCCATCCGCGAGCGGAATGCTCGCTCGCGTCGATTCGATGCTCATCTGCCCGAGAGGGATGATCTACCCGGCGCGCGAGCGGAGAGGTGCCTCGCCCCCTGCCCTTCATCACCATCACCGCAAGCATCATCATGATGACTGTCCTCGTGCCGTCGTCAGCAAGTCAAGCATCACCATCGTCACCGTCTTCACCAGCATCCTCGCCCTCATCCTCGTCACCATCCTCATCACCATCACCATCCCCGTCCTCGTCAACATCCTCGTCAACATCATCACCATCTCCTTCATCGTCAACATCCTCCCCTTGATCGTCATGATGACGCAGGCCTCTGCGCGCTCGGACATCCCATCCATCCCTTGAGTGCTCGGGCAACCCCGCGCTGCTCATGAGGCGTTTAGGGGTGAAGATCCCGGGGCGAGCCGACAGGGACTTGGCTTCGAGCAGGCGCGCAGCTCGCGCACGCTCTCTGTGTACACCGTGGCCTGCCCAGAACCTTCCCGGAACCTTCCCTGCAGGTGCCGCTTCGCCCCGGACGAGGCGATGGGATGGGCCCTCCCTCCGCCCCCTCCCCCCCCCCCCC